GATGCCACTGGACTGTTTTGGACTGGGGGGCTGGGGGGGGGGGGGCTCTGCAGCTTACCTGGCTGCTTCTTGCTCCGACTGAGGGCTGCTGGGAGCAGGGGGCGGGGCTTGTTGCATGTGCCCGCCCCCTGGGCTCTGTAATACCGGAGCTCCGCTCCTGTGCGCTCCCGCAGGAAATGACCCCTGGTCCTGACCAAAAATGTCTGACCCTGCATGAGCTGTCCCAGAGACGGATCCCGGTGAATACGGGCACACAGGAGGCCCTTTCTAATGGACAGAGGCGAGCCAGGGTGCTCCTGGCGTTAATAGCTGGCTCACCGCCGCCGGTTTCGAGTGCTAACATATTGCTGCTATTGATTTTTCACCCCCCCTGCGTGGAGACCAAGGAGAGGGCCCAGCATCCTCCCGCGGGGATGGAGCCGCAGCCCCCCACCTGGAGGCACCTTTGCGGCCTCCAAGCCAACGGGATGGTGATAAGACCGAAGCCGGGTTTGACGGGTAGACGAGCAGTGTGGTGTGTGGTTTTTTTTTTACAAGAAAGCCTCAGTCCGCCCAGCAGATGCTCTGTCTCCCTGCACCACGCGCCACCAGGACACGTTCTGCGCTAGAGGCTTGTACGCCGGCTCGGTCTAACAAATAAATAGTAAAGAAGAGCAAGAGTCCAGTAATGCCTTAAAAGGTAAAAGTTCCCTTGCTCGAAAGCTAGTCGAGTCTGACTCTAGGGTTGCGGTGCTCATCTCCGTTTCCAAGCCGAAGAGCCAGCGCTGTCCGAAGACGTCTCCGTGGTCATGTGGCCGGCGTGACTAAACGCCGAGGCGCACGGAACGCTGTGACCTTCCCACCGAAGTGGTCCCTATTTATCTCCTTGCAGTGTCTTGCTTTCGAACTGCTCGGTTGGCAGGAGCTGGAACTAGAGACGGGAGCTCACTCCGTCATGCGGCGCACTCGGGTCTCGAACTGCCGAACGACCGACCTTCCACAGCCTGCAGTTCAGACAAAACGGGTGGCAGGGGATGAGCTCCCGTGAGTCGCTGCTCATGTAACCTGCCACAAGTTTTGACGAGCTGACAAGAACTGTCGATGAGGATTCAGTCGGTGGCCGGGGAGGAGCTTTCGTGAGTCACTGCTCGCTTCTTCAGATACTGATCTCTGTCGACGAGATGAGCAGTAATTGCGGGGGACACTGGAGTTTTGGGATCTGTGAAAGGCAGCAGACTGAGAGACGGGTGGAAGGGACCCGTGCCCCTGGGGGGCAATCACCAGGAAATCGGGGCCCTCCCAACTCTCCAGGACCTCAGCCGCAGTCCAGCGGCACCTTTAAGACCAACAAGTTTAATTCTGTGCCTGCACACAAAAGCTGAAACTCAGAATTAAACTTTGCTGGTCTTAAAGGTGCCGCTGGACGCAGACTTTGTTCTGTGGCTTCAGACCAACACGGCTGCCATTCTGTGGATGGCTGCCTATGCACATGCGCAAACTGAGTTTAAAAAACCAAACAAACCGCCAACGCCCGCTGTGTGTGGGCATACAGCGATGGGCTCCGCAGACAGGAGGTAAGTGTGATCGCGTTTCAGCCGGCATAAACTGCAACGGTTCCAACCGGTACAGTTTATGCCGGCTGAAACGCCCCGTCTGAACCCACCGTATATATAAGGCTTGGGAAAGTCTGTTCCACTGTATCTGAGGAAGTGTGCATGCACACGGAAGTTTATACCCCGAATTAACCTTTGCTGGTCTTAAAAGTACCGCTGGACTCAGACTTTGTTCTGTGGCTTCAGACTAACACGGCTACCCCACCTGAATCTCTCTATCTATATATAAGGCTTGAGGAAGTCTGTCCCACTGTATCTGAGGAAGTGTGCGAATTACACTTTGTTGGTCTTCAAGGTGGACTCTGCTGTACTGCTTCAGACCAACATGGCTACCCCACCTGGACCTACATTCTACGGCCTGTTCACTCGGGGGTGACTTGGTGTATGCCTCCCGTCTTTCCCCCTCCTATTCCTGCCCTCCTCCCGGCGTCTGGCATCTGCATCCCCTTCCCTCCCTATGTCCCGAGGGAGAGGTGGCAGTGAAGCAACGGGTGACGTCAGGAGAGCCTGTTGGAAGGCTGACGACCAGCCGGGCCTTATCAGTTGCTGCTGGGATCTGTCTGTGTATCTAAACTTGTTTGTCGAGCTGGCCAGCCCGCCAGAAAGGCTCCGCCGAGGTGGGAGGGCTGGCAGTGGGAATGTTTGGAGAAGGCTGAGCGCTCCCTATGTGGGGCTGGGTCCCCACGTCATCGTGCAAAGGGCAGAAGGGTGCCAGGGACCCCACCCACCGAGCCCAGGGGAAGGACAAGCATCTTCCTCCCATCTCTAGAGCAACTGGGTCTCAAAGGACTGACTTTTTAAAGAGAAGAAGAGGAGGTCGGATTTATACCCCCCGCCCTTCACTACCCGAAGGTGTCTCAGAGCGGCTCACAAACTCCTTTCCCTTTCCCTCCCCACAACAGACGCCCTGGGAGGTAGGTGGGGCTGAGAGAGCTCTGACAGAAATGGCTCTTTTTCAAGAACAGCTCTTGTCAGAACTATGGCTTGCCCAAGGTCATCCAGCAAGTGCAAGTGGAGGAGTGGGGAATCAAACCCGGC